GATCACAGAATGATTATGAGCTGTAAATGTAATGTGGCCATGAAAAAGGCTAATGCAGTCCTGCAATGCATCAGTTGAGGTATTTCCACTAGAGATAGGAAGTGTTATTGCCATTATACAAGGCATCTGGAGTACTATGTGCAGTTCTAGTCTCCCACATTTAAGAAAGATTAATTCAAACTGGAACAGGTGCAGAGGAGGGCTACTAGGATGATCAGAGGAATGGAAAACCTACCTTATGAGATAAGATTCAAAGAGCTTGGCTTGTTTAGCCTAACCAAAGGAAGGCTGAGAGGAGGCATGATTGCTCTCTATAGAGGGCAGATTGCTCTCATCTCAGGGAGGGAGAGCTGTTGTTTAAGCACCAATGTTGACACAAGAACAAATGGATGTACATTGGCCATTAATTGTTTAATTTCAAGCCTAAATTTATCAGAAGAGTGAAGTTCTGGAACAGTCTTACAAGGGGAGCAGTGGGGGCAAAAAACCTAACAGGCTTCAAGACTGTGCTTGATAAGTTTATGGAGGGGATGGTAGGAGGAAACTGCCTACATTGGCATGTAGCCTATCTGTGACTGCTATTAGCAAATATCCCCAATGGACTGTGATGGGACACTATACAGGGAGGGCTCTAAATTACTATAGAGAATTCTTTCCCAGGTGTCTGGCTGGTGGGTCTTGCCGAAATGCTCAGGGTCCAACTGACCACCATGTTTAGGATTGGGGCTGGGGTCAGCCCCGTATGCAGGTGGCACTAGGTGTGGGGGAGTCAGCCCCAGACCTGGAAGGCATGGGGAGGGTGAATCCTGCAAGGTGAGCGCAGCTCGGGCGAGCCCCAGGCCATCCTGTTTTTACTTTAAGAAATATGGATACCCGGGTGGGGTGGGGGCGGTGTCAAGATCTCTTCTCTGCTGGAGCCGGGATGAGAACCATGTCTTTCTCTAGCCTGTTCTCTTCCCACCCTCCGGTGGTGGCTTGCGTTACTGCGCCTGACCAGACAGGTTCTTCACAGCAGCTAATGCTACCTTCCCGCCCAGAGGGTCTGCGATTAATGCATGTTAAAAAATTTAATGCGTTAATTGTGCTGTGCATTAATCACACGCATTAACGGCAATTAATTGACAGCCCTAAATATTACCAATGTTCAGGAGGACCAAATTACAATTGCTATGTAAACCATAACTTTGAATTTCTTGACTTTCATACATGTAAAATCTTTCCCATGTCTAATGTGAAGTTTTTCCTTATGTTCTGGTCAACAGTTCAGTTTCTTTCTTTGCTTATGTATTTCTTATTAATTGGAGCTTCTCCTTGCCTTATGGTTTCCCTCACTGTCATTTGGCCATGTTGGAATCTAGAATTATAAAGTTTTTCCGTCTTGTTCTTTATCTGCAAGAACAAACTTACTAATGCAAAAAGCAATTTAGATGCCATCCAAAAGTTTGTATTAACATTCTATTTGCTGATGACTTCAAATCTAGAAAGGTTATATAAAGCTGAAACTACATTAGCATTTGTATGGAGTACTAACCATTTGCTAATGATTTAAGAGTTACAGTTTACTGTCCCTGAATGCTTCATCTTGTTTAATAGCTTTTAAATTAGTAGAATAAATGCTGCTAATAAAAAAAATCATTAAAATTGCATACAGTATTGGCTTATTACATGGTGGAGATTTTGCAAAAATATACTTTATGATTTAACCTAACAGTGGTATTTGGAGTTGATTTAGGATTCAAAGGATACACTTGGTTTGCACATAGTACTATCTCGGGAATATAAATAATTCTAAATAAAATGTAGCTAAATACAAACCATATTAGCTCAGAAGGATTAAGTTATATCTCATTGTTTTTCCGACCTACCAGACATGTAAAATAGGTTTCAAATTCAGCATTATTATTAATAACAATACTGGCATACCAGGGAAGATGGGGATCCAATACCCTAGTGGAAGGAATGGCTCTTTGTGGATCCTGCTGAGTTTTACTAGATTCTCCCTTTTATCTCAGATCAGGCTTGCCAAAAGAGGAAGAGATGCCTGTCGCTAGGAGAGAATAAGTCATGGACTTTGGGGTACATTTTCCACTCTCCTGCAGGTTTGTCCTCAGAAAAGCAGCATGTAGCAACATTTTAGTTTATCTGTAATTCATGCATTTATGTTAAATTTTAAAAGTTGTTTACTTCTTTGTTTGCCTTCATAGGGGCTTCTGAAGTGCTTTTCATTATAACGAACCAGAGTCTTAGGGTATGTCTACACTACGAAATTAGGTCGAATTTATAGAAGTCGGTTTTTTAGAAATCGGTTTTATATATTCGAGTGTGTGTGTCCCCACAGAAAATGCTCTAAGTGCATTAAGTGCATTAACTCGGCGGAGCGCTTCCACAGTACCGAGGCAAGCGTCGACTTCCGGAGCGTTGCACTGTGGGTAGCTATCCCACAGTTCCCGCAGTCTCCGCTGCCCATTGGAATTCTGGGTTGAGATCCCAATGCCTGATGGGGCTAAAACATTGTCGCGGGTGGTTCTGGGTACGTGTCGTCAGGCCCCCGTTCCCTCCCTCCCTCCGTGAAAGCAAGGGCAGACAATCATTTCGCGCCTTTTTTCCTGAGTTACCTGTGCAGACGCCATACCACAGCAAGCATGGAGCCAGCTCAGGTAACCGTCACCCTATGTCTCCTGGGTGCTGGCAGACGCGGTACGGCTTTGCTGCATAGTAGCAGCAACCCATTGCCTTCTGGCAGCAGACGGTGCAATACGACTGGTAGTCGTCCTCGTCGTGTCCGAGGTGCTCCTGGCCACGTCGGCTGGGAGCGCCTGGGCAGACATGGGCGCAGGGACTAAATTTGGAGTGACTTGACCAGGTCATTCTCTTTAGTCCTGCAGTCAGTCCTATTGAACCGTCTTATGGTGAGCGGGCAGGCGATACGGACTGCTAGCAGTCGTACTGTACCATCTTCTGCCAGGCAGGCAAGAGATGAGGATTGCTAGCAGTCGTATTGTACCATCTTATGCCAGGCAGGCAAGAGATGAAGATGGCTAGCAGTCGTACTGTACCATCTTCTGCCGAGCAGCCATGAGATGTGGATGGCATGCAGTCCTTCTGCACCGTCTGCTGCCAGCCAAAGATGTAAAAGATAGATGGAGTGGGTCAGAACAAGAAATAGACCAGATTTGTTTTGTACTCATTTGCCTCCTCCCCTGTCTAGATCACACTGCAGTCACTCACAGAGAAGGTGCAGCGAGGTAAATCTAGCCATGTATCAATCAGAGGCCAGGCTAACCTCCTTGTTCCAATAACAACGATAACTTAGGTGCACCATTTCTTATTGGAACCCTCCATGCAGTCCTGCCTGAAATACTCCTTGATGTACAGGCACCCCCTTTGTTGATTTTAGCTCCCTGAAGCCAACCCTGTAAGCCGTGTCGTCAGTCGCCCCTCCCTCCGTCAGAGCAACGGCAGACAATCGTTCCGCGCCTTTTTTCTGTGCGGACGCCATACCAAGGCAAGCATGGAGGCTGCTCAGCTCACTTTGGCAATTAGGAGCACATTAACCACCACACGCATTATCCAGCAGTATATGCAGCACCAGAACATGGCAACGCGATACCGGGCGAGGAGGCGACGTCAGCGCGGTCCCGTGAGTGATCAGGACATGGACACAGATTTCTCTGAAAGCATGGGCCCTGACAATGCATGCATCATGGTGCTAATGGGGCAGGTTCATGCTGTGGAACGCCGATTCTGGGCTCGGGAAACAAGCACAGACTGGTGGGACCGCATAGTGTTGCAGGTCTGGGACGATTCCCAGTGGCTGCGAAACTTTCGCATGCGTAAGGGCACTTTCATGGAACTTTGTGACTTGCTTTCCCCTGCCCTGAAGCGCATGAATACCAAGATGAGAGCAGCCCTCACAGTTGAGAAGCGAGTGGCGATAGCCCTGTGGAAGCTTGCAACGCCAGACAGCTACCGGTCAGTTGGGAATCAATTTGGAGTGGGCAAATCTACTGTGGGGGCTGCTGTGATGCAAGTAGCCCACGCAATCAAAGATCTGCTGATATCAAGGGTAGTGACCCTGGGAAATGTGCAGGTCATAGTGGATGGCTTTGCTGCAATGGGATTCCCTAACTGTGGTGGGGCTATAGACGGAACCCATATCCCTATCTTGGCACCGGAGCACCAAGCCGCCGAGTACATAAACCGCAAGGGGTACTTTTCGATAGTGCTGCAAGCTCTGGTGGATCACAAGGGATGTTTCACCAACATCAACGTGGGATGGCCGGGAAAGGTGCATGATGCTCGCATCTTCAGGAACTCTGGTCTGTTTCAAAAGCTGCAGGAAGGGACTTTATTCCCAGACCAGAAAATAACTGTTGGGGATGTTGAAATGCCTATATGTATCCTTGGGGACCCAGCCTACCCCTTAATGCCATGGCTCATGAAGCCGTACACAGGCAGCCTGGACAGTAGTCAGGAGCTGTTCAACTACAGGCTGAGCAAGTGCAGAATGGTGGTAGAATGTGCATTTGGACGTTTAAAGGCGCGCTGGCGCAGTTTACTGACTCACTTAGACCTCAGCGAAACCAATATTTCCACTGTTATTACTGCTTGCTGTGTGCTCCACAATATCTGTGAGAGTAAGGGGGAGACGTTTATGGCGGGGTGGGAGGTTGAGGCAAATCGCCTAGCTGCTGGTTACGCGCAGCCAGACACCAGGGCGGTTAGAAGAGCACAGGAGGGCGCGGTACGCATCAGAGAAGCTTTGAAAACCAGTTTCATGACTGGCCAGGCTACGGTGTGAAAGTTCTGTTTGTTTCTCCTTGATGAAACCCCCCGCCCCTTGGTTCACTCTACTTCCCTGTAAGCTAACCACCCTCCCCTCCTCCCTTTAATCATTGCTTGCAGAGGCAATAAAGTCATTGCTGCTTCACAGTCATGCATTCGTTATTCATTCATCACACAAATAGGGGGATGACTACCAAGGTATCCCAGGAGGGGTGGTGGAGGAGGGAAGGAAAATGCCACACAGCACTTTAAGCACAGCACTTTAAAAGTTTACAACTTTAAAATTTATTGAATGACAGCCTTCTTTTTTTTGGGCAATCCTCTGTGGTGGAGTGGCTGGTTGGCCGGAGGCCCCCCCCCCGCGTTCTTGGGCGTCTGGGTGTGGAGACTATGGAACTTGGGGAGGAGGGCGGTTGGTTACAGAGGGGCAGCAGTGGCAGTCTGTGCTCCAGCTGCCTTTGCTGCAGCTCAACCATACACTGGAGCATACTGGTTTGGTCCTGCAGCAGCCTCAGCATTGAATCCTGCCTCCTCTCATCACTCTGCCGCCACATTTGAGCTTCAGCCCTGTCTTCAGCCCGCCACTTACTCTCTTCAGCCCTCCACCTCTCCTCCCGGTCATTTTGTGCTTTCCTGCACTCTGACATTATTTGCCTCCACGCATTCGTCTGTGCTCTGTCAGTGTGGGAGGACAGCATGAGCTCGGAGAACATTTCATCGCGAGTGCGTTTTTTTTTCTTTCTAAGCTTCACTAGCCTCTGGGAAGGAGAAGATCCTGTGATCATTGAAACACATGCAGCTGGTGGAGAAAAAAAAAGGGACAGCGGTATTTAAAAAGACACATTTTATAAAACAGTCGCTACACTCTTTCAGGGTAAACCTTGCTGTTAACATTACATACATAGCACATGTGCTTTCGTTACAAGGTCGCATTTTGCCTCCTCCCACCGCGTGACTACCCCCTCAACCTTCTCCCCTCCCTGTGGCTAACAGCGGGGAACATTTCTGTTGAGCCACAGGCAAACAGCCCAGCAGGAATGGGCTCCTCTGAATGTCCCCTGAAGAAAAGCACTCTATTTCAACCAGGTAACCATGAATTATATCTCACTCTCCTGAGGATAACACAGAGAGATAAAGAACAGATTTTGGTTGAATGCCAGCAAACATACACTGCAATGCTTTGTTCTACAGTGATTCCCGAGTACGTGTTACTGGCCTGGAGTGGTAAAGTGTCCTACCATGAAGGACGAAATAAGGCTGCCCTCCCCAGAAACCTTTTGCAAAGGCTTTAGGACTACATCTAGGAGAACCGCAAATGCCAGGGCAAAGTAATCCTTTCACATGCTTGCTTTTAAACCATGTATAGCATTTTAAAAGGTACACTCACCAGAGGTCCCTTCTCCGCCTGCTGGGTCCAGGAGGCAGCCTTGGGTGGGTTCGGGGGGTACTGGCTCCAGGTCCAGGGTGAGAAACAGTTCCTGGCTGTCGGGAAAACCGGTTTCTCCACTTGCTTGCTGTGAGCTATCTACAACCTCCTCCTCATCATCTTCTTCTTCATCCCCAAAACCTACTTCCGTATTGCCTCCATCTCCATTGAAGGAGTCAAACAACACGGCTGGGGTAGTGGTGGCTGAACCCCCTAAAATGGCATGCAGCTCATCATAGAAGCGGCATGTTTGGGGCTCTGACCCAGAGCGGCTGTTCGCCTCTCTGGTTTTCTGGTAGGCTTGCCTCAGCTCCTTCAGTTTCATGCGGCACTGCTTCGGGTCCCTGTTATGGCCTCTGTCCTTCATGCCCTGGGAGATTTTCAGAAAGGTTTTGGCATTTCGAAAACTGGAACGGAGTTCTGATAGCACGGATTCCTCTCCCCAAACAGCGATCAGATCCCGTACCTCCCGTTCAGTCCATGCTGGAGCTCTTTTGCGATTCTGGGACTCCATCATGGTCACCTGTGCTGATGAGCTCTGCATGGTCACCTGCAGCTTGCCACGCTGGCCAAACAGGAAATGAGATTCAAAAGTTCGCGGTTCTTTTCCTGTCTACCTGGCCAGTGCATCTGAGTTGAGAGCGCTGTCCAGAGCGGTCAGAATGGAGCACTCTGGGATAGCTCCCGGAGGCCAATACCATCGAATTGTGTCCACAGTACCCCAAATTCGAGCCGGCAACGTCGATTTAAGCACTAATCCACTTGTCAGGGGTGGAGTAAGGAAATCGATTTTAAGAGCCCTTTAAGTCGAAATAAAGGGCTTCATTGTGTGGACGGGTGCAGGTTTAAATCGATTTAACGCTGCTAAATTCGACCTAAAGTCCTAGTGTAGACCAGGGCTGAGGATCTCTTGAGCTTAGGATCTCAGAAATTGAACAATTTAAAAACTTTTATTTTATTACCAACCCTTTCACCAAAAAACCCTACTTGCAATGTTTGTCAGCTGATTAGCAATTATACACATTATATAATGTTAAACACCTATCTAATTATATCACTATTTATTACGCAAAATCTTTTCTAAGATAGGACTTGTAATCCTCTGAGGATATAGCAAGGAAAGTGTGAGGAATCAAACTGCTGTTTCACACAATTATTATGTGTTATTCTATTCCCCTACATCTTCCCCCACCCCTTCCTCCATCATTTGCTAACCAAGCAGCTGGACAAGTGATCTGAAGCTTCTAGAACTTTCCTTATCACAATTTACTCTTGACGTTCCACTTTACATCTCAGATGAGTACCGTAGGGTCAAATCACCCCTCAGATATTATTTAAACTTTCCAGCTACCTTTGAAAAGTCACATACAAAGAAGGTGTTGCTGAAATGTTATCTCTTGGCATTGTGATTTTAAACTGCCAAATGTAAAAAGAAAAATAATTTTGTGCATTTTTCATATTACTAGACAATAGTCTATTGTATTGTATTTGATTTGCATTCTTGCTGTGGAAACATTGAAAATTAATTATACAGCAATACTGGTGCACAAAGAAGAAAGCATAAGGTTAATGATAACCTTTCATTATATTGTTCAAGAGATGCTTTTTAGGTTTGGAATGAACTTGGCTGTTCATGGGAAGTTCCTGGATTGATAGTTATTTAGATTGGATTTTTGGTACTGCAGAAATGCAGTCTTTCTCACGCTACCTTGACAATATTCTTTAACAACAGTGTGGCGCAGGGTCTGAAACCCACATTGAAATCCACTAGTTCAGTGATAACTAACTTGGACTGTGACATTCTGACACCATGCACTACACAGTATTGGTGTACTTCCTATTGTCCTGACACTTCTGACCTCCAGGGGATGAATCAGTGCTACGTGCATTTTAGCTTGTTCTGAAATTTGTGAAGTTCAGGCACCATTTATTAATTTCCCCCCAAACTCAAGGATCTGTGCCAAATGCTTCTATGAATTTATATGATCATGGGTTATTTTATTCCTCTGTCCTTCTGTAATCTTGCTGGCATTGCAATGGAGGCTGTTTTCTGCCTAGTTATTTTTCAGGGCTAGTGGTTAAATTCCATCTGGTCTCAGTATTATCATTTATAGAAGATGCACAGAGTGAGGTGTTAGGGGGACAGAGTTAAAGTGGTTCCAGACATGTGACTTTCCATGATTTTGAATATTGGGCTTTTATTTTAAATTTAATGTTAGCTTAGATTTTCCTGGCAGTCTAATAATTGAATATTTAAAGCTATGGTGTTCCATTACATGTTCTCCCTTTAACTTCCTGATGCTTTCTCTGTCTTAATTTTAAATTACTGGTGTCTTTTTCGAGGAATGTTCTATAAATTTTGCTGCTACATGTTACAATCCCCCCTCCCATGTATGACTGTTTATGATAGACATTTTTATGGCATTGTAAATGTCCATTCATGCTCTTGCAGACTACGGTAGAGGCTATTTTTAAAATTTTTATTTCTGTGTAACCAGAGAACTCTTTAACTCTCAGCATCTGCTAAGATTTAAAGTCTAACATTTTCAGTGTATGTTGGTTTATCAGTTTGCCAGTTACAAATATTCCAGCTAAAACATTCTAACCAGCTATGTCAGAATATCGCACCCAAACCATGCTTCTATCTCCAGCCCTTCTCTAATATACTCCAACCTCCCTAAATGCTTGTAAGGAAAAAATGGCCTTTGAAGCATCCCCAGAAGAATAATGAATCTGAACTCTAGCAGAACTAGGGGGAGAGCCTATTCCAGAGAATGCTTCTGCCAGCAGTTCCCTCTTTTTTATATCAAGAAAGCTCCCACACCACAGCTACTTGTATCTGGGGAAAAATGGTGATTAGGGTGCTAACTTGGGAAACCTGGGCTCAATTCCCTGCTCTGCCACACATTTCCTATATAACCCTGGACAAGTCACTCAGGCTCTTGCTACCTCTGAGTTCCCCATCTGTAAATGGGTATAATAGTACTTCCCTACTCACAGAGATATTGTGAGGCTAAATACATTAAACATTGTGAGGTGCTACAGTAATGGGGTAGATAGGCAGGTAGGTACATAGGTAGATAGATCTGCAAACTTTTTTGTGAACAAAAATCCCGTTGTACAGCTGTGGAAAGCAAACAAAAGGGGTAACAAAGACCATCAACAGAATTCATCATTTGACTTGAAACACTTCGGGAATACTTTTTTGCAGTATTCTCCTAGCTTTGGTAGGGACATATATATGGTCCAAGGTATAAAGCAGCAATCAACAGGTTAATAAAAAATACCATGGCCAAGTTCTTTACTCATTTGCCATGGTAGAGTAAGACATAACTCTGAGACATTCCCCCATTTGCACTTCATATTCATAGTAGGTCAGTATTCTTATTTTGGTTTAACATGCACATTTATTTTTGTGCTGTTTCTTTTAGTGGCGCATACAAAGATTCTGTAGGATGGTAACCATAGTAACAGCAGAACAAGGGAGATCAGCTTTCACCCCCAAAATGCATATCACAGGGTTTATGTTTGCTTGTTCTTGGATCTGATGGTTCTTGAATATTAGGAAGGGGTAAGGTGAGCTTGTTTATTTCACAATGATTAAAAGAGAAATGCATAGATTGGAATCACAGTACAAGAGAAATGTTTGTAATAGGGAATATTCTAACATGTCTAGGAGAAGCCAGGTATAGACAGGTATAAAGCAAATAGAAAATTATATTATGATTTCCTATTTAAAAAGAGTAACAATGAGAGAATTTTCTAGCCTGAGGTTTTCTCATTGGCATTAGACATTTTGTCAGGTTAATGAATGCCATCAAATGATTTCAAGGGTCTATTGAAAGAGATACAGGCAATGGAACCCTAAACCAAATAAGCACATAACAAATAAGACTGCACACTTGTACCATAATAAATGCCATAGTGACAAGCACTAATGTACTGTGCAGGGAACATGGCATTTTCAAATAGGGCATCTAATCTTGGGTGCCCAACTTTAGACATCTAAATAGCAAGCAGCCACAGTTCTTTTTGGCTTCACTGGGAAGTTTGTGTGCTCAGCACCTCAGAAAATCAGGACTAAAATTGTGTCCCAAAATAGAGGCAGCCTGCTTTTTTCACATTTAAAATGGAATTGTTGTTTGTTGTTGTTTATTTACTATTTACCAGATATAAAGTAATCTGGCTAGCTAAAAATGATTCCAGTTTTTTCTTGGACCTGCATGAGATAATATTTATAGCAAAAAAGACTTTTGGACCATTGGAAAAGTCTGGATGGTGATTTGGCTTTAACGATTCTTCCAGCAAATTGACCTATTCTGTGGTTGTAATGATACCAACATTCCTCTTGTGAGCCTCATCAGTGCAGTTACACTTGCTACAGGTCATAATTTGACATGAAATATATTGTATTCCTGCAGAAATTGTAACAACTAGGCTTGGTGCTTTTTTTCCTCTTTCCCCCTACATAAGGAGATCTGTTCCTTTCTGTGGACTAGTTGTAATGATGCTGCCTCTGGCGGGACACAACTGAGAGTATCAATTCAGGACAAATTGCTTAGAGCAGGGCAGTCACAGCCCAAAGCTGGGTATCCTTTATTACTAAGGCACACCAAACCGGCCAAACAGAGAAGACTTCGGTTTTACCCCACTGGCTAACGACAAGTCATACAAGCAATTCCCTCAGATAATCCAGTTCCCTTGTGTCGTCATCAGCACCGCTCCTTATGGGGGTGACTGGTTATGAAAACCAATACCCCAGTAAAAGAAAAAAGGTTCTCCCGATCCCAAAGGACCAAGCCCCAGACCCAGGTCAATATACCAGCCAGATCTTACCCACAAATCACGCTGTTGCCAATCCTTTAGAATCTAAAATCTAAAGGTTTATTTATAAAAAGAAAGAAATATAGATGAGAGTTAAAATTGGTTAAATGAAATCAATTACGTATAGTAATGGCAAAGTTCTTGGTTCAGGCTTGTAGCAGTGATGGAATAAACTGCAGGTTCAAATCAAGTCTCTGGAGTACATCCACAGCTGAGGATGGGTCATTCAGTCCTTTGTTTAGAGCTTCAGTGTAGCAAAGTTCCTCCAGACATAAGAAGCAGGATAGAAGACAAAATGGAGGGGTTTTCAGAGTCTTCTATATTTTTTCTCTTGTGAGAAAGGGCGAAAGGGTGAAAACCCTTTTGTTGTCCTGTGCAAAATCATGGCAACAAGATATCAGTGTTTTTGGATAGGGCACTTAATCTGCAAATTCCTTTCTCAAGAAGCTGACCAAATGCTTCACTAATGCTGCTTAGAATTAAACACATTAAGATACAAATACATAGCCAATATTCATAACTTCAGCTACAAAAATAATACACACATACACATAGCATAATCATAACCAGCAAATCATAATCTTTTTATAGACACCTCACACAACAACCTTTGTACAATATTTGCTGCAGATATATAACAGTGGTTGCAATAATGATCTATACAGTCACAGTTTATGTCAATAACGTCACACTAGTCTCCCAAAGAAAACAGTGGAAGCTTCAGTGCTAGATTCATTTAAAATTAGACTGTGGGAAATAGCTGAGCAGGGACTGATCCTGAATTAGCCAGAGGGATGGAAGGAATGACAACAGCCTTTTCCATTGCTAATTTCCATGCCTGTGCCATCTTGATGACATTCAGATGAATCACTACATTTACAGTTGAATAAAAACTGAAGCCTTCGATGTACAGTATGTGGAACTTGCTATAGTACACTAGGGGCATATATAAGAAAATAAAATATTCTCATGTTGTTTGAATGAGGTAACATTGGAAAACATAATCCCAATTATACATATAAAATGGTGCGGTCTAAATTAGCTGTTACCACTCAA